AAATATGTTAATAGATATAAGTTTAGGAATCTACTATTATTTATAAGGAAATATGTCAATAATATTTAAATGCATCTACAATATATTAACAAAATCACAAATTCGTAATATGGAATATTTATATACCCTAAAAAAATTTACACGCTATATATACTAGATAAATTTATTTCGATGTAAAATTTTAAAATTATATTGTTTTTAAAAAAAAAGAAATTGTTTTTTATAATATTAATTTATGAGACTATAAGTTTAGTTTTTAGAAAAAATTTCTATGAATTTTATATTATCTTTGCAAATTAAAGTATACTAATATTTAATCAAGCTCTATTTATATTACTTTATCTAAAAATGAAATATTAATCTAACAAACAATAAAATTTAGAAGAAGAAACAAACACATATTTGAAAACATGTGTAATACAGAAAATTAGAAACAAACTATTTGATTAAAACACGTATTATATAATATTATTATGTTTGAAAAACATTTACTATACATATCGTATATATATGATTACTATAATATATACCAATTTACAAGTGAAAACAAAATGTTTATATAATTAACTATAAACGAAAACAAACAAAAAAAAAACTATAAACGAAAACAAACACACGCGCGGTTGCGCGGGTCAAAATCTAGTTAATTATTAAAGTACATTTTGATCCATCCTTTCAAATACTAGCAGATTTACTAGATGATGAAATTATTAAAATATTATTAATTATTAACATTAACATTAATAATTATTAACATTAGTTATTAGATGATGAAAGGGCAATTCTCTTAGATAGTACTCTTTTAAGTTTTTATCACAAAAATAGACTTGAAAAATTAAAATGACCAAAATAACACTTTTTATTTTGAAAATTTTCAGTTTTTTTTTTTTAAATTTGAAACCCTATCCCCAATACCCCACTCCTCAACTCTAAACTAAAAAGTCTAGGATTAGTTAATCCAAGGGTAAAAATGTATATTAAATAAAACATTTAAGTGCTATTTTGATCATTTTAATAGTTAAGGTCATATTTGTGACAAAAAAAAATTTAGGTATATTTTAGTCATTTTCTCATGATGATGAAATTATTAATAGATGATGAAATTATTAACATTAATTATTAATTATATCCTTTCAAATAGCAGATATACTAGATGATGAAATTATCAAAAATTATTAATTATTAACATTAGTTAATAGAGGATGAAATTTAGGCCTGGGCACTATTTCCCGGATCCGAAGATCCGACCCGGTATTTATCCGAAAAATCGGGTTTTGGATCGGGTTCAGATACAGAAGAATATCCGATCGGATGATGTTTTAAATTTGGTCGGGTACCGGGTCGGATACAGGTTATATCCGAGGCTTAGTTAATGTAATTACGATTTCCAAAAATCCTACCGTAACGGTAACAAACCACGCCTTATGCAATTGCGATTTCCAAAACTCCATCTTCTCCTGATTATCGTATTAGCCGTTTCTTCTTCCCGACATATCCAACCTTTGCGATTTCTGATACTCTTAATCTACATATTAAAGGAACAGATTTGTAGAGGGGATGAATATCCGAAACCAATCTCAAATACATTCTTTTTTTTTTTTGCTTCTTCTTCATCGAGAAACATATCTCAAGTAAGAATCTATTTTCATTCTGTTCTTGTAATAGATTTAGGCTAGTTAATTGATTTGTTGTGTACTTGTTTTCTCGGGTTTGTTTAGTTAAGTTTTGTAATATTTGTGAGTTGTGATTCAAATTGATTTGTAATGTCGATTTTTTATGGTCCTCTACTCTTCTTTATCACTTCAAATCAATTTGTTTTTATATGTTATGGTCTTTATCACTTGAATTTGATTTTTTTGTGATCATGTTGTTATTGTCTTTGATTTTATCTATTTATTCTTTTCGTCTTCTCACTTGTTATTGTTATGGTTGATGATGAATGATGTTCTTTTCCTGTGTAGATGGATTCGTCACCATTGCATGATAACATTGTTGACAAGGAGACAGAGAATGAGGTTCATGAAACCCATGATAACCGAGGCAAAAGGAAGGTGTGTTCAGGAGGTAGTTCTCAGGCATCCAAACCAAAGAAGGCTACAACGACAAGGTCTCCTGTATGGGATCATTTTACAAGAACAAACGAGGACCGTGACAAGTGCATATGCAACTATTGTCAGCGCATCTTTGGTTGTGCTTCTTCATAGGGAACTTCAAACTTGGGGAAACATCTCATATCTTGTAAGTCACACTTGGTGTGGGCACAAAGCCAAGGTCCTGGTGCTACAAAAATTACCAATGAAGGAGGTCTGACGAGTGCGAAGGTGTCTGAAGCTGTTTGTAGAGAGGCGACTAATGAGCTTCTGGTGCTGGCAGAGTTGCCACTTTCATTCAATGAAAGTATTGCTTGGAGACACTTCTGCGACAGAGTTAACCTATACACACCTCACTCACGAAAAACTGCAACAAGGGACATTGTCAAAATGTATGTGAGAAAGAAGACTGCTCTGAAGAATTGGTTCAAGTCCAGTAAGCAAAGAGTTTCACTTACAACCAACATTTGGAAAGCACAGCCTACATGAGCAAGCTACATGGTGGTGACGGCTCATTTTGTTGATGAGAATTGGCAGCTAAGGAAGCTTATAATCGGTTTTAAGCATGTATGTGATCATAGAGGCCAGACAATAGCTGATGTGCTTATGGAGTGTTTGGCTGAGTGGGCGATTCAGAAGGTCTTCACCATCACAGTTGACAATGCAACGGCAACACATCTGCCTTGAAGCGTTTTCACAGGGAATTCATGCATCTTGGCAATGAGGCATTCATGATGGAAGGAAACTATATGCTTATGAGGTGTGCAGCTCACATTATCAACCTGATTGTGAAAGATGGTCTGTTGGAGATTAATGGAAATGTGGAAGTGATCCATAATGCAGTGCAGTATGTGAGGTCATCTACTCCAAGACTGGAGTCATTTGAGCTAAGAGTTGAGTCGGGGAAGATAACTCGAGGCAGCTTACCTTTGGACATTAAGACGAGGTGGAATGCTACTTATCTCATGCTTCCGAGAGCCATTAAGTTCAAGGTGGCGTTTGATAAAATGGAACAGGAAGACATGCTCTACAATGACTACTTTAAGGAAGTCGACAATGGAAACAAAAGGGCCGGACCTCCTGCTACTGTTGATTGGAATGCAGTAGAGAGGTTAGTAAAGTTTCTCATCATTTTCTACAACTCTACCTTAGTTGTCTCGGCTTCCACATCATTTTGTGCTCATAAGTGTTATGGTGAGATAGTCACTATAGAGAGGAATCTGATAAGATTAAGTCAGAGTTAAGATATGGAGTTGAAAAGAAAGGCTGATGACATGAAGGCAAAGTTTGAAAAGTATTGGGAGGGTATGAAGAATGTCAATAAGATGTTGATTGTAGCTTCTGTGTTTGATCCGACTAAGAAGATGCAATTTGCCAAGTTGTGTTTTGAGAAACTATATGGAAAAGAAACACCCGAGGCTAAGGAAATGTCTCAGTTTGTCCACGATCTTATGACTTCAATGTTCAAAGAGTACAGTGCTCGGTACAAGCAAGATTCATCTGGGCCATCTTCTCAGTCTACTCAAGCATCATCATCAAGTGGACAAGATCAACGTGATAATGGTCTAGGAGATAACATTGAAGTAATAGATTTGGTTGATGATGATCTCGGTTATGAAAGGATGGATTGTGCTTATACTGAGATGGTTGCTGAAACCGGAGTTCAAGAAGCAAGAGAGGAGCTAGAGTTGTATTTGAAGGAGAAGGTAAAGAATCCAAAAACTATGCTTGGAACCGAGTATGATGTGTTGTCTTGGTGGAGGCTTAACAGTCACAAATATCCGATCTTAGCATAATTTGCCAAAGATGTACTTGCGATGCAAGTGTCCTCTGTTGCTTCAGAAAGCGCTTTCAGCACCAGTGGTTGGCTTATTGATCCATTCAGGAGTTGCTTAACACACTACATGATTGAAGTCCTTATGTGCACAGAGCAGTGGATGAAGGCTGACATCAAACTAAGTGAGAAACGTGTTGTTACCAATGCTCAAATACTAGCTGACTTTGAGTTACATGAGAAGTTAGAAAAATGTACTTTCTTTTCTTGCTTTCTTGTATTATTACTACTTTTCAAATTGCATCTCTTACTATCAAGTTAGTAACAAAGTTCTTTAATATTTTGTATTGTAGAGTTTGATTATGCGTTCAACATGAACTAGAAGATCTGATGCTATGGAGATGAAGGGGAAGAAGAAGTTGGTCCGAACTTATGTTGGTGTTTTATGTTTTCTTGTTTTGGTTTATGCTTTCTTTGAACTCTGAATTTATGTTGGTATTGTTGCTTTATGTTTTCAATTTCGGATTCTATGTTTTTTCTTTTGTTTGGATGTTAATTTTGGGTTTTATTATGTTATGAATCTTAAGATGGTTCAGTTTCATTTGATTTGTTGTTTAATTTTACATTTCTTGCGCTTTCATGTTGTTATTAGGAACCGATACCTCATG